CCCCCCCCGCCCGGAATCCCCTCACACAACAGGACCCTCGGCATGTGACCCACTGCCAGCTAGCACACGTGCTGTAGTCACTGAACTCAGGTATGTCTGCAGGGCAAATAAATTATGCAAAGAAACGCTGATTTCAGGTTTGACTCTGTTACCTGCTTTTCTAGAAAACATGTTCACAGAGGCTCTGGGGGGCCCTCCAGGTCCAGGGGCGGCAGTCTGCGGAGCTTTGGGAAGGGACATTGGAGGTGGGGGTGCAGCCTTCTTCTGCAGAGGCAAACTCAGCTTCAGAAACGTGCTCATGAACCCAGACCCCTGGCCGCACCACTGACCGCAGCGTCCAGAAGCGCCTCCACAGGCAGACTCCCCAGGCTCAGCGTACCTCCTCCTCTGGCTCATTCATGTCCACCCAGCGGTTCTTCTTTTCATCCCAGACGATCTGCCACATTGTGAGGAGTAAAGGAAAACGTCAGCAGATAAAGCCAAATTAGAGTCTGATCATGTGTGACACTTCGAAGCTTCAGAAGACATGTGTTGGGGTTCGTTCTTAAGTGTCCCGTGCAAACCACGACAGACGCTTCGTCGAAACACCTACCAAGTCCTCAAATGCCACATTCTGGACACTCACCGATTTGTTCTTGTCATCTGGCAAATAAGCTTCTGTCTTCCTTTTCCCAGTTAGCCAGCGAGAGAACCAGGACTCGCCACTCTAAACAGAAACACCGTGAGGACAGCCGTGAGAACGTCGTGCTCAGTGCAGCGACACAAAAGGACAAGTCCTGTGGGATCCCAGTAGAAGGGCTGAAACGGAGGCCCGACGGTGTCCTCCCATGGGGACACGGTTGGACTTGTAACAGGTGCCTCTCGGTCAGCTGCTGGGAAGGGTTGCTTGCGCCCACCTGGGGAAACTGGCATTACGTTCTAAGGCTGGAAAGAGCTGCCTGTGCCCCAGGTACAAACCCAAGAGAAACAAGTGCCCTGGCCACCAAAGACAGACGGCTGATGTGTGAGAACCCCAAACTCAAAGTCCCAATGACCCCTTCGGGAGGAAGGGTGCCCACAGCAGATACCACCTACAATGATGAAAAGACGCACCTCCTTATGTAAAGTTCAACAACGGCCAAAACTAATCAGTGGTGACAAAGTCAGAACAGAGGTCACCTCTGGGGCGGGTGTTAACAGGTCATGGGAAGCTGAAACTGTGGCGCCGAGTGGGGTGGTGGCACACGGACAAACACCAAGTTGGTGCCCCCTTCGCACGCCTTACTGTGCGAATGCTTCCTACTTAGGAAAGGATGGACGCCTGTCCTGCTCCCTGCGTCGGAGCTGCCTGTGGGAGATGAGCCCTCCCTGGGCCTTGCGGGCCCAGCGCAGCGACGTGGGCTGTGCGTTACCTTCTTAGGCTCCTTGGCCTCTGTTTTGGCTGCTTGAACAGAGCTCTTCACTTCAGGAGCGGGTGTCAGAGACGGGGACTGCAGGGCACCGAGGCTGGCACCCCCCCAGCTGGCAGGGGCTTCGGAGTCCTGCGGCATTCGCGAGGAGCCCTGTGCAAGGCAACGTGGGAGCAGGCTCACCTGAGGCACCCCCAGATGCCCACAGAACATCCCCAGAGGCCAGGTTAAGGTGAGGTGGGGCAGGTGGGGGCAGCCCTGGCCCCCCGGGGGGTGACTGCAGGACAGCTGGCCCACACTTAACAAGCGACTTTATCAAGGGGTAATGCAGAACTCAACATGGGGGTCCTGGAGTTCCGTGGGATCCGGGCGTGCACTGAGAGCACAGACTGGTGAGAGCAGGCAGTGGGCATTTTAAAAGTAAAGACGTTTACCCCTGGATGAAGACTCTACTTTTCCAAGGACAGAATATCTTAATGGTGAAAGCACATGACAGAAGTTTAAACTACAGCACTCGCCCACTGATGGGTGTTCAGAGCTGGGTATCTGTGAAGGTTCCAGAATGCGGTTGGTATAAAAGTGTTTGTCCCCCCTGCTTGGGATCAGAGCAGAGGTGGCATTCATACCAAATAGGTATAAAATGAATCTCAATTTCAAGAAAACCAGAGAAAATTTTAGGGATTCTACCATAGAAAGGTGCAGAAATTGTGGTTTTCCATTTTAGAAAAATTAAAATCAACACGGGAGTTTCACTACAGACGGGAATTTCTTCTTAAAGTAACTATTTTACAAGTAAGTTATCTTCCCCATCCGTGCTTTCCACCAAGCCCTCTTGATTTAAGGGTTCGAGCTACTTCAGTAGTGCCTTCTCCTTAAGAAAAAATGTAAAGGTAACTTTTCAAATTTCAGTGTTCTCTTTCTATGTGCAACTACAGGACAAGGAGTTTGGGTTCCTACTGAACGAAGTTCATTCATGGAGAACAGACGGCTTTAAACCAGGCGGGAGAGAATATACCACGTTATCCAATTTTCCACCAAAATCCTCTTCACTCTGCTCAGCCAGTGCCTTTCTGCCGGGTGCCTCGTGAGGTGTCATCCCTGTGGATGGAAGGGAGCTCCTGGGACATGGCGTGGGGGCAGCATGTCCCCTAACAAAAAGCCGAGCGACCAGAGAAACTAGCAGTGACATTCAATTAACCCGTGTGGCTTACAACTTCTAGGACTTTGGTGTATGTGAATGTCACTTGTTTCTAGTTCAAGTGAGTCAGTCTCTCCCGCCAACCACCTCCATGGACAGGAACCCCCCACCCCCAGCTCTGCGCTCATGACGGTGTCTCGGCAGACCCACCTGGGTCCTGGCTCCTGACATCCTGGAACAAGTGTTCACTCCCCTGGAGACATGGTGCACCAGGTGGCAGGCCAGGCCCTGCGTACAGAGCTGCAGGGTCAGGCCCAGAGGGCTCAGCAAAGCCACGTGCAGACCCTGGAGGTCCACAGCCAGGCCCTGGCTCGACAGGGCCCAGGGGTTGTGGCACTGAGAACATCGGCACCCTGGCGGGGACGGTCGGCGGCACTGCACGGAGACGGTGGAGGAAAAGGTTACTGAGCTAGCTCGTCACTTGGGAGCTCGGTGGTGGTGACGACGGGTTTTTACTCATTGCCCTGCATGGCCATGTTCCTCAACGACAGGAACCAACCAATTGTCATCACAGCAGAAAGTGCTGAAGATGGGGGTGCGGGGGGGGGCACCATGGGCTTGGGGAAAAGCGAGCACACACTTCAGGGCTGGGGAGGACGTTGTTCAGTGCAACCCGGGGCTTGGGCTCTGTCTGAGCCACACGTGGCCCCAGCACCACCCGGCCGACAGCCGCCTGCGGAGGCTCTCTGCGTCGCCCAAGTCCTCGAGTCCTGCCCACCGTCCTCTACCTCCAGGGGTCAAAAGGCGCCCTGCATCCCGACGGCTGTGCGGAGCCGTGAGGCCCGGCGGGCTCACCCAGGGAGGAAGCGAGAGGGAGACCGGGAGACTGAGGGGCGGTGCAGACCATCCCCTCGCTTCTCCCGGCAGCAGGCCCAGAACGGGCCATGTGGGGAAGCAGGCGCCTCAGGAGCGGCGGGAGGCCCGCTGCTTCCTTGGCGTCGCGGGGCTCACCTGAAGGCAGCAGCTGCACGGCCAGGCCAGAGCCCTGGGCACTGGGCACGGGTGGCACCAGCAGCGGGTTGTCAGTGCCCAGGCCCAAGGGCTGCACGAGTCCTGGGCCATCACACTGTCCCACCTCGGAGATTGGCGAGCTGGGACAGCGCTGGGGGAAGGCGGCGTCGTGACTCCACACCACGGCACCCTCCTAAGGGAGAAACACGCTGGGCGCTCCCGACAGCCCGAGGCCCTGAGGCGGTCTGGCCCTCACGCCCTGCCCCGCTCACCCTGGGCTTCAGGAGAGCCTCTCCCCCACAAAGGGGCGTTCTGACAAACACGCGCACCTCTGAAACGGGACTGTTTACACCTGACACTACAGGGTGAAAAACACAGGGGCCCGAGCCACCTGTCACACTGTCTGCGTCAGCCCACGACTGCCAGCCCCCGGCCCACCTGGACCTGCTTGTCCACACGCTGCAGCTGGGCCAGCCAGGCCGGCTCCAGGAAGGACTCCTCCTCCGGCTTCTCCTTCAGCTGAGGATCGAAGAGTCGTAACTGGGACGCGAGCTGCAAATGGGAAACAAAGGCCCGTCACCAGCAGGGACTGAGAGCAAAAGCGCGTTTTCAAAACCTGGTCTCACCCGGGACGTGTCCTGCATTAAGCTGCACAGTCTGAGTCAGCAGCCTAAGCTCTTACGAGTTCGCCACGAGACACGCCTCACACACTTACACATAAGCTGGAGCCTGCCAATTGCTGAGGCCTACCCTCTGAGGCCGTCTGCACGGGCCCAGCAGTGCTGAGAGTCCCGGGGGCGGAGCCTGCCTGCCAACACCTGACCTCGTAGATGGGACCTGACCCATCCCCACGCTGGACTGACCTAGAAACACATACTCTGACCAGCGCGTCTGGATAACATGAGTTTGGCCTTGTGTTAAGCAGCTGCTAGAACTGGGGGACGAGGACAAGGGCTCATTAATTATTCTATTTTTGTATATGTCTAAAAGTTTCCATAATAAAAAGCTTTTTTAGGTATCCCATGAGTGTATTTTCAACAATGAAGCTCCTGGGGGGAGAAACAATGACGTGACCACTTGGGCGCTGAGGGTCACCACGTGCTGGGCTCTGGCTGGGTGCTGTGCCCCCATCTCAGAGGTCGGTCACACTGTGCCCGTTTCACAGAGAAGCCAGGCCCACAGTGGCACAGCAGGGCCCAGACCTGGCCTGCTGGGCTCTGGAGAAGCACACCATAAACTGCTAGACTAAACCACCTCATGACAGAGATTCATGGAGACAGGGTCCTTCTTTTTGAAGCTTATTGCTAAGTTTCTGCACTGGCAGGGGACAGCTGAACAATTCCTACACTGAGATGCAGAACACCACAGAGCCACCCAGGAACATTTCAGCCATCTCCACTCATTCACAAGGTTAAGTCCCGAGCGCCCACACCACCCCGTTCAACCCCGAGTCCAGGGGTCCTGACACGTCAGAGCCACTCAGGAAGATGGTACCTGAACCAGCTGGCTGATCAGCACGGGGGAGTAGCTGTGCGGCTGAAGCAGGATGCTTTTAGCGATCACTTCACAGTAATGAAAGGCTTGTGTTGCAAGCCCCATTTCAGCCAGGCGGCAGGAGTAGATGAATTTAAACACCTGAAATGCACAAACAGCTCAGCCACCCCGTGGCTCTTCCCCGCTTCCTAACATCACCCCCAGTCCCCACAAGGTGAGAATCACCAGACACGTTCGCGTCCCTCATGTGTGCCCCGCTCCCACCACAACAGCCCCAGGCCTGACTCCCTGAGGTAGTTTAGGTCAAAGGAAACAGCTGAGCTTCTGAGACCCTCCCTTTTCTTCCACACCCTTCACAGAGCCACCAGGGCTGTAAGTACGGAGGCTGCCGCCCAGAGCACACCTGGACACCAACGGCCTCTTGTGCAGCCGCCAACAGTCCCAAAGCCGTTCTCTACTAGCACCTGCCTACGCGAGTGTTTGCACACTCACACTCACTCCTGGGTCAGGTAATACTCTCCCCATAATACAAAAAATAGCTGCCAGAAAAACACTATGACTCAAAATACAACAGAATCCTCAGTTGAACAGGGTCTGTTCTCCAGCACGACAACTCAGAGGTTTCCAAAAACACGTCATCGTTTTCATGTAAGAATTCAAAAACACCAAACAAAGGAAGACTTGTCAGCACAGACCTCAGATGGAATCCACAAGAGCACCATGGCCCTGCTCACCTGAAAGTTGGGCAAGGGGCTGGCCTGCACCCCGAGGGACTGTGCGTATTCATAGGCTTCTGTCCTCTGAATAGCTTCATTGGTCGCAAACTTTACAAATGGCAAACTGTTGAGGCAATGAGTTACTTGAACCTTTGAGCAAGTCACCCAGAGGCGCAGCATGTCCCGCCGTGTGATAAGCAGTGAAGACTGAGGTTTCTGGGTTGGCTACAAGAGACGTTTCCCTCTGAGGAAACCAGGGGCTGCTCTACTTAGGTGATGCCTCACCTGTGGTTTGATCCAATTAAGACAAGCTTCGTGGTTTTCTTTGTATAAACCCCAAATCCAACCTGGGCCATGAGGTAGCAGAAGTGTGCCGCGTCAAGGAGCCCTTTCGAGGCTGAAGAGACAGTAAAGCAGACAAGGGTCAGTCTGGGGGAGTCTCCCGGAAATCCAAGGACATGAACCGAAAATGCCAGAGACGCCGAAGGAATGCAGGGCTGTGTGTGGTCCCCGCAGGGCCCCTCGCACTCTGCATGGCCTCACCGAGCGTGTCGCCCATCGTGGCCATTGTCCTGGCCTCCACGTCCACGCTGCTATTCAGATTGGACAGGACCATCGCGAGGTGCGGCCTCCAGTCCCCCCACTTCTCGTCTCCGCAGCACTACAACCAGGAGAAAGCCAAGCAAACATACCCTCACCCTGGGAAGAGCCTCGACCTAATCTGTAACAGCTGAGCTCAGCAAGCACGAGGAACAGCGAGGGCAGGACCGGACCATTGGGCTCATCCTGTGATGGAAACTTTCCCGGGAGCCAGCCCTCCACAGAAAGTGGAGCCGCGTGAGCCCCAGCGCGAACCCCCACTCACCGTGGATGCAGCGGGCATCCGCCCAGACATCAGCTGGTAGACAGTCTGCAGGGGATCATTGATCGGAAGACTGTTAGCGAACCTAGGGAGACACAGCGAGAGGGAAGTAGCTTGGTGGGTCTGGAAAACAAGACACAAGCCCGGCCTCGTGTCAGCCCCTTTAATGCTCGGCTCTGACGCTAGACCTCGGTCAAGGGCACAGAGCTCAGTGTGAAAAACCTGCAAAACATCAAGGCTAAGGAACCTGCTGAGATTTTACAGAATTAAAAGCTGTGTGGTTAACACGTTAAGCGCTATGGTACGGTAACACGCCATGACGTGGTAACACGTCAGTCACCAATGACTGACACTATACTTCCCGTTTGGACCGCGTCGTCACTGGTGACTGACGATATACAATTTAAAAAATTATGTTCTTCTATTAGGAAAACTAATTTCACTTGAATCGCTTTCACACGTTTCTTCTATTGACATTGTCACTGTTACGGGTAAAGAAAAATTTTGTAAACTGCACTGGAACATGAACCACAGACAACTGACTGAAGAGAAAGCATATTGGTGAAATCGGACATCGTGGGCTAAACGGAAAGGAAGACAAAACAGGCTCGGCGCTTAACGTGTTAACAGGGCCAGGGCAGCCCATGTCCGTGCGACAGTGCCCCAGTGCAGGTGAAACCCTACAGCTCTCTCTGACATCAGCAAGACACCTGTGTGCTTCCAAGAGCCACCAAGGTTGCAACCAGACCAGCCAGACTTGCACAGAAACAGTCAGGCCTGCAAGGCTCTTTACCTGGTCATGACTCGGGCATGCGTCCGGCTGTCCATCTTACTTGCAAGTAACAGAGCATGACCCCACAAGCCGTTTTTCATTGCAGACTCCAAAGCATCCTGCAAAGCAGTTCAGCAGTTAGCTAAGTGGTCACAACAACGCATGTGACGAGAGTGAGCAATGGAGTGCGTGTCGTCACACGTCACCAGGAAAGACGACGAGCCTCAACTGCGAGGAAGACACACATGACGCAAAGGCCCCAAAACACAGCTGTTCGCAGTTCCGAAATCCACGGCTGGGGCCTCACCTTCTTCCGGCCATAGAGCAACAGCTCCCTGAACCTCTCGGTGTCTTTCTCCAGAGTGTCAGTGGTGGCGGCCTGACTGTCCGTGAGAAACGAGAGCTGGGCCTCCCCGGACTCCTCCTCCGCCTGTTCCACGGCCTCGTTAGTGAAATCAATCAGGTTGGCCTCATCGGGAGACTTCCCAGGAAGCCATACTGTCCGGTGGTCCCGTAACAGCAGTTCTGCAATGTCTGTCCCCACCACGGTCTGCAGGGGCGGCGGGGACAGAAGGACAACGGGCTTCACTACAACAAGCGCTTCCCGCAGGTCCTGCTCAGGTCAGGAGCCCCTCAGAGGAGCACGCCAGGCCACCATGGGGACGTGATACTGTTCCTGACAGGTCAACACGGGGGCCCGAACCTCCCTTCCCCCCAAGTACACCCTCGTCTTCCAAGTCCCCGAGTCACTGCTAAGATGCTTCTCCCCAGTGAGCTGCTGGACGGCACACTGCTCCCCACGCATAGCCTGGCACGGAAATGCTGCCCAGCTCCCAGAGGACCAAGAATTCCTGAGACTCAAGGCCAACAAGAGTGGCCGTTCTAAAGGTAAAAGACTCGTACCCCATTCTGTCTGCACAACAGAATGATAAAGTTCCAAAGAAGACTTGCAGACTCTTTGTCAAGTAAGTTTTCATTCTGCAAACACTTTGTGGCTTTGCTCTGTGCAAAATTAATAACATCCACTTTATGGGTGTCGTCTCTGAAAAAAGAACAACACTCAGTGAACAGCGACAACCGCAGGGAGGCCACGCGCAGCCACTGCTGTCGCACAGCGGCCTGGGCGCCGGGCGGGGACGTACTTGCCGAGAGGCCCCGGGAACGCGCGCATCTCCTCCTGCTCTGGCATGTGCTGCAGCAGCATCTGCAGGGGGACAGGCGGGGGACAGAGGGCAGCTCAGGGCAGGCTCCGCCACTGCCTACCGTTCTGCTGACCCAAGGATGCCTGGCCTCCACTAGAGAGGCTCAGGTACTCCCTCAGGGCGGGCGGCCACGTCTGGTCGGCAACGGTGATTTTCAAGCTTTATTTTACACAGTGAGAGCCATCCCCATCCCCATCCCCATCCCCACCCCCACCCCACCCCCACTTCTGAAGCAAGGCCCTGATACATGTGACAGAGGCCTGCAGGTCTGCGAAACAGGGTGCGCCACACCGGCCTCTGGAGTATCCCATCTCCACCAGCCACAAGCTCATGAAGCACCTCTACCCATTATTGAAAATCACCAGTAAAACGAACATGAACAGGTCCTGCCCTCAGAATCAGAAACATGGATAGAGGAGAAATGAGCACCCAATGAACCCAAGTCTAACATAACACCCAGAGCAGATGCTTAAAATGCCGACATCTGGGATGAAAGATACATGAACGACCAAACAGAACGAGAAAACCCCTGAGGTGAAGATTCACAGAAACAAGCCTTTTACAAGTCCATTTTTTTCAGAGACAACGATGCACGAGGGGAAGATGACCACCTGCAAAGCAGAGTATACGGGCGGCCTGAGCACGCCGCGGCTCTACCCCAGAATCACCTCCATGCTGTGGACTTCCACCAGGGCGGGCTGTCCTTCCGAAGGCAGATTGGGGATCACCTTGATGAGCAGGCCTCCGGGACCAAACCTGGCACAGATGTGAGGCACGGAGAATTTTTCAGGAGAAGTGGGTCTTGATGGGGCTACATTTAAATGAAGTGAAAACAACACCGTCAGCTTGGCAGGTTTGAATGCTTCTGAACTTGATAAACAGCTTACATTTGCCCAGCTGCCCCCAGAACTGGAATCACAGATTAGATTTCCCATGGTAAACTGACTTTCAACTGGAAATGAATGACTGCTAAATATCCCATTAAAAAGAACTTAGCTTATGTATCAAAAAGTGTTTAGGGCCGGCCGAGTGGCTCAGTTGGTTAAGAGCTCGCTCAAGAGTTTGAGCTCTAAGCAACAGCGGTTCAATGCCTGGCCTGAGCTGAGCTGCCAACAGGTGGCAGGATGGCTCAGCTAAAAAAAATATATATATATATATATAATTTTCAAAAATAAATAAGTGTTTAAATGGGTAAAAGGAGAACTGTTCTATTCCGAAGGGAAGAAGCACTTCCTTAGAACCACATGTTACGGGATGCAGCGCCCCCTGGCCCTCAGCACCTCTCTGTGCTCTTAGCTTTGGTCCACAGTCCCAGTCTCCAGTCTGAGCATCAGGGCCCAGTGAACACAACGCACTGAAACAGCTAAGAAAAGAGGGCTTTCAATTGAAATACTACTTCAAAGAAGGAAAGTCCACTGTTCCATTTTAGAACTTTACACGTATCTTTGCAGTTTTCAAGAAACAGCATTTGATCAAACATTTCAGAGAGGAACTGAGAATATGGCAGATGTGACAAGTTCACCAACAGTTCAGCAAGGAGAATTAGAAGTTTCCTCCCAAACTGCTGACCCGTGTGGTCAGCACCGCGGATCCCACGAGGCCCCGCCCAAGAGCTGGGCAGTGAAACTGTAACTCAGCACACGGCATGGACGTGACAGACAAGTAGGGCAGCTCTCAGGCCCACTGGGAGCCACGTATCAGCCCACTGTGACAAGCCCTGTCACTCAGGACGGGCATGCCGTGACCCAGCTGTCCTTACCGTGCAGGAAGATCAGACTAGGCCATCACCAATTCCTATCAGTTACGCCTCCCCGTTTCTCACCATGGGTGTGAGAAACGCCCAGCGCTAACCTGGAGCCCTCTGCACCTGTGGGCGTGGAGGGCCTCGACAATACACACCTTGCTCCCCGGCGGGCCAGCTGGCGTCGGCAGGGTAGCCGTACTCTGAGAAGCCCGGGGCACCATAGGTGTCATAGGCATAATCCCCATGGAAGGAACCTGGTGGAGGTGGGGCCTCGTAGGGACCGGCGGTAACACTGCGGCTTCTGTAAACCTGACTCTTAGAAAACACAAAGCAAGCAGGCAAAATCAGTGCACCGCAAACGCCAGCCAGATGGGGCGCGCAGTTGGCCCACGGTGCCACCCACCTGCTGCGAGTGGGTGCTGAAGCTGCTGCGGCGGCTGGGCGCCCCGAGGCTCCGGGCCGAGTGGTCACTGTGCTCACTGCGCCTGTCCCCATCATCTCTGAAAGGGTCCCTGTGGGACTCCAGGTCATCTTCGAAGCTCCCCGTGAAGCGAGGGTCATACCTCCAGTACTTCTCGGGCCTGGGGAGGCGCAGACGTGCAATGGGGGCCATCTGGCACACCATGCACAGCCCCCAGGTCCTCAAAGCCCTGCATCCCACGCCATCTGAGTCCCAACCCTAAGAACACTAGTCAGAACCCACTCTCAGGCGGGGCCGCCCAAGTTCACAGCCCGTCTGTGCACGTCAGGGACACACTGTGAGTACACGGCCAAAGTCACGCCTCTCACGGACACCGAGACAGAAGAGCAAACCAGATCCCAGGCCCTCATTCTGAGGCCAGTCCTCCTCTTACGGCCCAACGCAAGACACGCCGGGAGGGTCTAGTTCGCCCTCCTTTCCGGCAGTGACGGCGACGCCAGCTGCTCCCCAGGAACCCACACACACCTGCAGCTTGTGGGTCAGTTACAGACGTGCAGGCAGACGCAGGCGTGCCGTCCTCAGTGATGGGCCCCCTACCCACCTGTCAGCATAGGCGTAGTTTTCTTTCCTGTACTGGTCGTAGTCCGCATCATACCAGTACCTGCGGTCATAGTGGCGCGGATCCCTGAGCCTGGAACCATAGGAGTAGCGATCCCAGTGACCCGGATCTGCAAGCAAGGGATTAACGGGTTAACACAACACACAAAAGATGACACTGGCCTTCACTGGAGAAGCCAGGCCACCCTGGGGCTGAAGAATGCTTCCAGGCTCCAGGTGAACCAAACCTTCCTCCCGAAAACCAGCACAACCTGGGATGTTAGCTGAGACACCGGGGCCCCTGGCTCCTGCCTCTGCGTACAATGCCTCATGGCCGCTGGCTGTTTCTCTCTCAATATGTGAAATTAAAAAGAGAAACACTCCTAGAGAGCAGACATCTTTTATTAAATTCTTGCTCGTAGTTACTGCTTTTTAATAGTTAATCCCATAACTACAAATTTTACTGACATCTCTTCTAATGTGGTCCAGAAAGTTTTAATACTCTCAAAACTAAAAGATTACTTAAAAAAAAAATTTAACATTAAAACAAACCGGATGCACCAATTCTGGCAAGTGTGTGCACAACTTACATCTAAAGAGATGCAGATGTAAAGGGGGAAACGGTGGGGAAGTGGCGGGCAGGCGGCCATGTCAGGACAAGCGAGGGGCTGCAGCCTGGCACCCTCCATAAGCCAAAAGCACAGGACACAGCTGGGGAAGCAGCAGGGCACTTGGGGACTGCCACGGAGAGGCACATGTGGCAGGACAGCAGGTTGCACCTGGGCAGTGAGGGGACCGCCCTGTGCCTGCACCCTCCAGTGCTGAGGCACCGGCCACGTGTGGCCATGGAGCACATCAGACATGGCTGGTGTGAGAGTAGCCACTTTCTCATTTCAGTTACTTTAATAATTGAAATAGCCACCTGTGGGCAGGGCAGCTCTAGAGCTACTGATAATTGTGCTCTGCTAGAAAATCAAAGAAAACCGTCAATATGATAAAGACCTGTTAATGCTGTAATTACAATATCATTTCTTAATGAAAAGTAGCAATGTAATTGTTTCCACACGCAGATTGTTTTCAGAGCCTGGCTCTTGGGTGCAGACAGACATTGGTAAGAGGGAGACGTCCCTAAGAAGCCCCGGCAGGCAGGCAGTGCTGGCACTGGGGGTCCCCTACGCCTCGCAGCTGACCGTCCACGGCCACTGCTCCCACCTGCATACTCGTACTGGCCGGAGTAGTAGCTGGCATAGTAATCACTTTGGCTGCTCCATCCACCTCTGGACTGGGGATAACCTTCAGGGTACCCCTGCCTGAAAAAACACAGTGCTGTTAAAAAATGAATTACCTACGTCTGAAAGTGTGACAAGGTCTCAGTCCACACAAATCATACTGAGAGCAGCAGGCATCCGTCAGAACACTCTGGGTGTGAAAATCTAATCAGAAGATCCAAAATGGTAACAGTAATGACATAAAGGATTCCCCACCACACAGCCAATGACAATTTCCTATAAAGTAACAACAGAACTCTCACGTTCTGTAATAAAAAAGTGCTAACATAGGTTCTCAAGCTTCTGACATCATACTTAGCAGAGCGAAAGGCACTGAGGTATGAAAGTCACCAAAGTGACGTTAAGACCCTCTGCGCAGACTGCGCTGTGTCCTCTGGGCGGGCACGGTGTGCCGGGAGCTGACGGGCATGGGACTCAGAGCAAGGCTGCCTGACTCACATCACAGAAGAGGTGGGACCTCGCAGAAGACCAGGTATCAGACCTTCTGGGGCAGCGGGATTCTTGGCAGGTTAATGACAGTTTTGTTTTCTCATAGTTTTAGGTGATACTTGATTTTCTCACATCTCACTCTGACAAGCCTGCTCCTGGCATGAGTGCCCAGCGCTTGGGTCCCGCAGCCCCTCCCACTGCCCCCACAGGACACCACCTGTTGCCCTGGCACCTGGAGGTCAGCACGGTAGGCTGCCTGCATACATGGCGGTGGGCTCCTGAAAAATGACCTGACACAGCAGGAAACCACGAACACGCCACATCCTCACTGCCCTCAGCAACCCTTCACCCATCGGGGAGGGTACAACCACTAACATAAAAGGTCCATTCTCACCTCAGGCAGTTTCTGAGGAATGTGATCAGAGTGGGCACAAGATGACAAGCCAATGCTAAACCTCTGCATGAAAATACGCACGCACGTGCACACATGCGTGTACATGTACATACACCCCCAACCAAAGCCGGCAGGAAAAAAAAAAGACGTCACCCTCCAGGGCTGTCACAAAGTGGCGATGCGAACACCGCAGGTAAGTAAGGGTGACAGCCACTCCTGCAGAACAGACCCAGCCTCTGGTCGGGCGTCCTCTCAATGCTGAGCCAGCTGGGCCCCTTGAAATGAACGCTGTGTTAATCCGCAGGTGGGCCAGCGAAGGAGAACCCCAACACCGGAAGTGCCATGGCCCCACCCTCCTCCGCACTCCCCAGCCTCTCAGGGGGTCACAGTGCTTATTTTAACTTTAAGCCTCACTGTGCACGTGACACACAAACGCTAAAGCCCTGGGAGCCTTCTCACATAAAGCACCTAGAACGTTGGGCCACACACTGGTCAGTGCGTCCCTCGGGGCAAAGTACAGAGGCCAGCCGAACGGGCAAAGGCTCAGGGGCACAGCCTTGGCTCCGAACGAGCTTTCAGACACGCAAGAGCCAGCCGAAGGGGCCCATGAATGTGAAAGGCGGGGCGGGGATACGAAGTTCATCAGCGATCACACCTTCTCTGTCCCGAGTGTAAGGAGCCACACACCCTCACAGCAGAGCGCCTGGGAGATGGGGTCCCTCCAACGTGACACCCACAAATGCAGGCGAGGACACTGGAAGTCGGGCTAAGCTGAACATGCGAACAGCCCCGCTTCATTCCAGCACTATCAGCATCCGAGTGGGAGGCCTCTGACCTGCTTACGTCCGTACTCAGCTCAAGGCAGGATGCCGGGGCTCATCCAGCAGCTCTCGTTTGTAATCGCAAAGCCAGGACCGTCAGTGTAAGAAAAGCAGGACACAGATGTCTGCGGGTCAGGACACAGTGGTGGGGGTGACAACATGGGCTTTGAGGTCAAGAGCCAGCCGCGTTCTAGCCTGAGAATCATGGAATCTCTGTGACCGGGAGCGGGGCAGGGTCTGTGCAGGTTAAAAGGTGCCGCAGGCTAGGAGCCTAGACACCCGGTCAGCAAACCTTGTCGCATGCGTGCCTCAGCAATGGCAGAACCACCTGCATGAGGCGGTGGTGCCAGCCCGGCGGCCACACAGGGCCTGCCTGACCAAATGCTAGCTGACAGCATGGCCATGTCTGCACGGTAGTGTGCTTACTTCAATTTAAAAATGTATCCTGCAACCTGTCCACGCTGACAAACGTCCACACATTAACCAGATTGGTACGATCTTCTCTACACACCGTCTTTCAGTCACTACCGCAGCCAGCAACACAAACATCAATCACCTGGCAGATGGCCGGTCCGAGCAGTGACTTGCCCGGGAGCTGGGCCGCTCAGGCTCGGGGTAGCGGTAGTTCTCGGGATAGGTGGATCCTGAACTGTCGTAGGGCCTGTATCTGGGGTCATATAGGCCATAGATGTCCTGTTGGAAGACAGGTTTGGGCAGAATTAGACACCACTGGAGCCAGTCCATCCAGGTCTCAGAGGCACAGGTGACGGCTCGCCAAGGAGCGCTGCAGCGCCCTCATGCAAAACCGAAAACCTACAGAAGGAAAGCCACAGGCAGGCAGCGCACCTTCCTAAAACAGACCGCCCTGGCCACGCTCGGGAGACACCAGCACGTCCGCAGGTGACCCCCAGGTGACAAGGCAACTATCAAGGGCCCTGTGAGGCCCTGCCTCCTGAGGCCTCGAGTGCAGAGATGCCATGACTCAGCAAGCTCGCATCCTGCCTGGACACCAACTCAGGAGAGCAAAAGAACCAGGGTCCATTTGAGTGGGTCCTGAAGCTACAGGAAGCCTCAAAAAGGTTGTTTTATTCTCAACAAGGCTTTCAGCCCCACTGCAAACCACTGAATCACCACAGCCTCTCTAAGGAGTGGCCACGTGATGACCTGAAGCACAAACGAGGTGACCCAGGCACTAGCCAGGATCAGTTGTTCATGTCTGAGAGCCTAACTCTCCGCCACCGACTCGCAGAGGACATGAAATCAAGTAACGTGGACGCTTGACCCTACTGGCAGCTGGAGCAATCCACAGAAAAGGCAGAGAGACGTGGAGAAGAGAGCTCCCACAGAAGTGATGGGGGCTCCTGGCTGGAATTTTCAGGGTGCAGAGGAGGCGCTGCACACAGGACCAGAAAGAAGTGGGGGGGGGGCACTACAGGCTGTGGGCTATGCCTGGGTTCCCGGCAGGGTTTCACTTCCTGCTACGGAACCAGGTGGCCATGTTGCTCCTGTTGGAACCTTGAATTTGCAGGTCTCAGTGGTCAGGGGTATAACGGTTCACACACAGATGCTCAGAGCCCACGACGGGGCACAGGCCTCCCACCTCCCGGCCCAGCCCACCACAGGCCTGCCCCACAGCCTCTTCAGACCACAAGGCCTCCGGTGCGGTCACCGGCGCCTGCTCAAACCCCCTAGTTCACCGTCCCGCTGCCTCAGCTGGCCAAGTGATGCTGGGCCAGGACCAGAGGTGACAAAAAGCACGTAATAATCACACGTGCCCATCGAACCATACTGTTTCAAACAAATACAGGATTAAACAGAATCTAACTTAAACAACTCATGAGCTTGCAGCACTGTGAAGAGGCAGAAACAATCTCCTGTGTAGCACAGTGCCCCCCCCTTCCCCCCCCGCTGCTGGAACCACCATGTACCTGAGAGAAGCCGATGAGATTTCACCCCCTGAGCTATTTCCTTCGAATTACATTCCAAACTTAACTCTTTCCTCAATGTTTTTATTCTGAAGGAGGGGTTCAAAAGACTACTTTTCCTATTGCTCCTTACGCAGGTTTTGGTCTTAAAACCTCACAGGAGCTCCAAGCGGCTATCTGTCCTCATTTCCCAAAGCATGCAACTCAGAACTGGGGTTCTGCGGACAGCCAACAGGTGCAGCCGTCACAAAGCTGGGGGACGCTGTACACAGGACGCAGCACGCGCTCTACGCAATTCAGTGTGCTGACGCGTAGTGTGGCCGCCACGAGACGGGCCATGCTGGGCATGGAGCACTGTTCTCGCGAGCAGCGCACGGGACTGGCACCCTACCCACGGGCAGGACGACAGCTCACTTCCGAACCAACAGACAAAACCCTGCCAAGGAGCACACAGGAGAGAACCGCTGGACAAAGGATTTGGCCACCTGCACTCAGTCCTACCTGGTAATAGAGGGGGGCTGTGCCAGGGTCCGACGAGTACGGTGACGGGTACTGGGACTGGTAGCCGTCGTACAGGGGTCTGTGATAGTAGTAGGATGCCAGGTCCGGGGGCGGCTGCTGCCACTGCTGGTCCGCCTGCACGGCTGCCTGGCCTGGGCTGCTGGACACAACCGACGTACTGGAGGACTGAGGCGGCCGAGGCAGAAGCTGCTGACTCAGGTCAGCTGGAGCCAGACTTGCAGGTGGCTGGGCTGAGTCTGGGGGCTGTGCTTGCGCTGGTGGACCTCCTGGGTTTGAAGGTTCTGAAGGTGGTGCTTTGGGACCTTGCGGAGGCGGCGGCGCTGGCTCCTGCGGGGCTCTCTCTAGGCCACGCGGGTCCTGAGCATCTTTCGTCACCTGTTGGTAGAAATGGTCTGGGTTATGGGCCCCAGGCCCAGGTGGTCTGGGATGACTGGGGGTGGTTTGCTGATAAGAATGCGGGCCGTCAGAATGGGACAGGCTGTACATCCTTACGGGGCCGTCCAAAGTCCTATTTGGTGTCAAGTCTAGGGCTCCTGGAGTCTCGTCCTGATTACTGGGGTGATCTGCCTTATTACTGGGCGGTCCCGAGGTGGTGTTTGCGGGTGGCCCCCACATGCCTTCTGCGCCCCCAGCACGGCTATTAGCCAACTCTGGAAGAGCATCCTCTGCATTAGGAGCCTTCTGACCTTCGGGAAGCAAGCTCTTTGGAGCTCGATGAGATGGTGGCTGAACCAGCAAATGAGCAGGTTGAGCAGAAACCCCGTCAGGGATAGCAGAAACTTGTGGACAATTACTCTGGGCAAGACGGTTAGGTAGAGGCGAGCACGTGAGGGGGCTGGCTGGAACCCCAAACAGAGGAGTGCTTTCTCCATAATCACCCCCCACGGCCCAGCTGCCCGTGGTGGGTTTGTCTCCCACCCGAGCGTCTCTCCAGGACGGACTTTTCTCATTTGGATTTGACAAGGACACAGAAAAATGAATGGGCTGGGCCAAATTATAGCTCTGATCGGGCTGGGCAATCAAGACTGGCTGATTCTGCAAAGATTCAGTGGGCGGTGAGGACAACAGACTGGCATAACCAGAACTCGCCTGTGACGGCAGGGCATCCTCCTCTCCCATTTTGGGAGGATTCTCAAGATTCTCAGAAGCACCAATGCCATCACTGCTCTGCAGCTGGGGGAGGCAGCCGGGCTGTGGGGACAGCTGACCGGACACCCCCTCATCTGGGGGCTGAATCACTTCTGACGGTTGAGGTTTCGCAGGCACGTGAAGCACAGGAGCAGCCGGGGCTAGGAGGACGTTGCCTCCAAAGTCTGGCAGCTCGTTCTGTGCCCACAAAGTCGTTGCTGGGCTCTCACACTTGACGGCTCCCTGAGCCCTGGCCAACGGTCTCTTCTCAGGTGTCAGAAGCACAGTCTCCGAGGGTGGCCCCAGCCCCTGACCAGCTTCTGTAGGTGTAAGAGGCAGAGGACAGGCCTGGGGTGGGAAGAGCGTCTCCATGTTGTCTGGTGGCTGCTCCAGGTTGCCAGGGCAGGCGTCGGGCGGCACGGTGGTGGGTCTGCGCTTCTTCCGCTGGGCATGGGTTCCCCTCACCTCGCCCACCACATTGGCACGATCTGCCTCAACTGGTTTCACTCCAACTAAGTGGGATTTCACTGGTTCAAAAGAACTATTTGCACTTGTCTGAAAGATCCCTGTGGGTTTAGGGGGGCTTGGAGTCGAGGGCTGGGGCAGGCTACTGCGGTACTTCTGGCTCACGGCCGTCTCATCTGTCTCGCCTCCCACAGGAGAGGAATCGATTTGCTTAAAAAAGCTCCCTGAAGCGTCGTCCTCAGGTTTTCCAACTTCTTGCTGAATGAAGGTGCCCAGGTCCTGGGGCCTGGCCGCAGCTGGATGACTCCTGTGGCTCTTGCTACTGTAACCGGACACGCTGTCGGGGCGCACAGCATAAAGTGGCGCATCCAGGGCTTCGAGATTAGGGCCCCCCCCTCCAGCATGGCCCAAGACACTGCGCCTGGGGATGGCTGCTCCGGGAAGGGGCCCATATCTGAGCTGATCACCTGGGGAGGAAGGGTCCAAACTGGGGGGTTCACGTGGCAGAACCTCTTGATTCTGAGTGAATTCTGAGTTCTCAGCATTCTCATAGTGCGAGCCGCCAGCGTCCCGAGTCCCCGCACCTGGCATGTCACCCCACACATCAACAGCAGCGTTTTCAGTGGTTGGCTTATCATGTTGGATGCCTGAAGACCGAGGAAAGAATGGCTGCACGTCCCCTCCCTGCGGCGTGGTCTCACTGTTGGAGGCGTTGGGAAAGGCCTGGTACACACCGCCTGTTCCCACATATGCAGGGGGATGGCCAAGTCCAGGGCTGGGGGAGAACCCGTCCAAGTCAGACTGAGCAGCAGAGCCTGTTTTCTCAGATGAGAGGTTCTCCTCGTTTTCTGTCTCTCCCCCCTGGAAAAACATGGAGAGCGCGCCCGAGTCTGCTTCTGGCAGGGCCCCGCTGGTCCCGGCCCCCAGGGCGTAGTGCAAATGGCTTTCGGAGTTATTTCCCTGAGCGAGGGGGTTAACAGGAGCAGGGTCTGGCAACTGCTCTTTATTCACTCCTGGATTCAGCCTGAACTCCTGGCCAGCCCGAGTATTCCCAACTCGGAAATTCTGCCTGAATGTGTTTTCAAGATCAAAGTTACTTGTTGAGTGGTTTCCACTTTGCAGGTAGGCTGCCTCAACTCTTCCGTCACCGGCCATGGTTCCTGGTAAAGATACCAGTGGGCTGTGTGGCTCGTGGCCAGGACCCTGATGTGGGTTGGACGGAGAGAGGAGGTGGGAAATACTGGAGGCCTGGGGCACCGTGTTCTGAACAGGTCCTTCTGGGCAGGGCCAGTAATGCTGAGCTGGGGGCTGGGGGCCTCCCTGCACCGACCCCCACCGCCCTGGCATTTGCTGATGAGGCAGAGGGAAGAAAGGGGACGCTGCTGATGCCGCAGCGCTGTCGTGCACGTTCTGCCCACTCGGGGGCCTGTCGGGCCCAGGCAGGTTCCCATGTGAATGGCCCTCATGAGAACTGTCAGGACCCGCTCCTGGAATGTACTGAGTCTGAGCTTCCCGTTCACAGCTGGATGAGACCTCGGCACTCCTGTTTATCTCTGGCTCAGGCAGTGCTGAAGGGGTCAACACACTGGAAAATGAGCCGGCATCTGCCCTGGGCTGCGACACAGGTCCCGGAAGAGGCTCAAGGGGTCCCTGGGAGCCACCCCCAGCATCTGTGTGAGGCACAGGCAGACCAGAGCGCTGAAGAAACGCTGGCGAGGCTGGGCCTGGCAAGACGGGCAGGCTGCTTTTGGACAAACTGCCCAACGATGTGCTCTGGAGCGCCTGTCTACTAAAAGCAAATGGGTCCGTCACCGGCTGCAATGGGCGAGTTCCTGGAGCCACTGGTGCACTAGCTGTCGCCTGTCTCCTATATGGGCTGCTAGACCAGGGTGTGCTCTGAGGGGTCCCGGCTGGAGGTGGCCCCACCACGCTGGGTGGGACAGCCTGGGGCGGCGGCTGCATGATGACAGATGCCGCTCACAGAAAGATGCAGGATACAGGCTTTCCTTAATCTGGAAAAAAAAAAAAAGTATAAAATCCATATATTCAGTCATGGCTGCAATCAGGAAATTAAGAAAAAAGACAAAGACTGCAAAGGATTTCACATCACTTAAATCCTGAGGCATACATGTCTGCTTCCCGCACTCCTGGACAGAACTGCTGCTGTTCTGGGAGCCCTGGGCGGCAGAGGATGGAGTGAGAACACCGGGCCGAAACACAGAAGACGGCTGTGCCCTGACTAGCTGAATGACCTCAGACAAGTTACTGCCCTTCTCTGGGGCTCAGTTACATAACCCAGCAAAATATCCACCCGGAATGCCTCCTGCCTCCGTGGTGCCCTCACCAAGCTGGCAGGGACGAAGGAGAACCTGCCAGTCTGACTGACCAGCAGGGACGCATTAACTTTTCCTGTAGCTTATCATCACCAGGCCCAGAGACAGCCAGCTCCCCAAAGACCGCATATCACACTTCTCATACAGGCTCATTCTAAATCTCGAAAGGAAAACCAAAGTTTAAGATGTGCTCTTTCGTTTTCTTTAATGAAAGAGCATTATAAAGTACAGGGTGATGCAAACTACAAAGTAGGCACATAAACCATATTTATCTAAAATGCCTTTTATCCCACCATGTAAAGTGTCTCAATTTTTGCACTCGGACTGACTGAATACCAACAACGTGCCTGACTGTTGGTATTATAACGACTATGCCAAGTCCATGTAAAGCAGCTGTAAAAGTGACCAAATGACTCGATTCAGACATTTTCAAGAATAGGCAGAGTGCCAACAAACCTTTTATAGAAACAAAGGGATAAAATCCTCTTTGCAGTGTCTTCTGTTATTGCTTGTTCTTAAATAAAATACATTAAGTATAATCTTGAACAGTTAACCTGTACTTTGAAGACAAAAATCCAAGTCCTGTCTCTTTACAACACCCTTTTCTGTGTATCACCCTTTTCTCCCCAGCATCACCCTCACAAACAGATGAAGTTTAGCCAATCACAGAGAAAAGTAAACACCGAAGGGAGACATGGTGGAAGGACTCTGGAGTTAATCCACATGTTTTTTCAGATGCACAATGTTTTTGTTCTTGGAAATCTTTCTGATATTCAAATAAAAAAACCCACTTATGAACGTACTTCAGGTAAAGCACCTTACAAATAAAAGTTCCTATCCCCATCTGAAAGCTAGTCCTGTGAATCTGTTAATTCGCTGCCATCACTGCCTGCACATGCTGTCCTAGGCTAACCAGGAAACCTTTCCGACCGACAAGCACTTTGAAACTCACTCCGATTTAATGGACTGTATATTAGGAACAGCATCAGAGACTTCATTTGGTTCCAAGCTGTCCTTTTACAACAAAGAACATTTACAGCTCAGCTTTACATGGACTGAGGGTAGAACAGGCAGAGTGTTTTCTTCTGTGCAGCAGGTACCCAGGACATCTTCCGGGGCACAGCTTCCTCCTTGCAGGGCTTCAGAAGACCCTCAACCATTGTAAGCAGCTTTAAAAAAAAAAAAAAAGTACAGAGCACAGGCCTGGAGAATCTGTTCACTAGGTGTCACTGTGAGAGCAAGACTGGGTGTCCAGCTGAGTGGCGTGGCCCCGCTCCTCCTCCTCCGGCAACCCGGTTTCTTTACCCATAAAGTAGGAGATTAATATGGCAACTTCTAAGGCTCCTTCTGGGTTTAATCTTATCAATTATACTCACAGGGGATTCTAGGATTCCCTAATCCCTACCACTGTTTAATAGGGAAATCTTATCAGAATCTAAATTTCACATGTTTATAACTTAAATGTTTTCCTTACAGAAACGCTTAACATTATTTCCTCAACTCCTGGACTAAGAACCGTTTTAGAAGCAAACACTATCACTTCCCTACAAAGTAGCACTCCTACTTTCCCCGGACCACAGACTGAGAGCTTTTTAGCAATATACCAATTATATTTGAAACAATCTAGTTCTTTTGGCCGTTTTTCTCTATTCATCAACGGAAAAACAATGCAACTGCGTATCATTTATCTCATGACAGGGATTTTTATTCTGTCCAGTAAGTCATTCTGTAGCCTCAAGTCATCTAACTTTAAAAAAGACAGTTTCAGAAAGACCAGCTGATTTTTAAGATGCATTACTCATAAACCTAGTTCTTCAGTTAAACTGCCTTGTGTCTGTGAAATACTTCAGAACAACCCGTTTCCAATATAAATTCCTGGCTACTGAACTGATACTTACAGCACACTCCTCCCCTCCCAGAGCCGCTGCCCCAGCTGCTCGTGTGTAAACCAAAAGGAGCGCCAAGAAACACCTGAGTCTGCCCTCTACCTACAACCTCCCCACGGTGGTGATGGCTAGAGTGACGTCCTGCTAGACTGGACATCTGACCCAAAGCCACCGTTGACCTCCAACTTTTCTAAGTACAGAATCAAACACCTTTAGATGTTAAAGACAAAGAAGGGGGAGTCTAAACACTGCTAAAAATGACAAAAGGACAAAAGGACTGCTAAAAATGACCCAAAAGGACACCGTGACACTGAGGAAAGATGTTTATGGAAGGAATCATATGAAAGTTTGCACACTACCCTAAAGAAAACTCTCAGTATAATTTTGAGATTTAACTGTAGTAACTGCTATTAACCCCTTGGGTACCAATTTGTTTGAAAAAATTTTGCATATGGAACAGATTTAATTTTTTGGTACTTGGAGTAACATGTAAAAGCAGATTTTATCTAAAAATTCATTTATTTCTAAAAGGTCAGTGATATACATAGCACTGAGATGACTTCAGATAATTAGAGTTGCAAAACAAAAATAAATTAAAAAAACACAAAACTAAAACAAATTCAAGGTATAACAAAAAGCAAATTACTAATAGTTATGAAGAGTATGGTATTTTTCAAAGCAAGTATGGTAGGTAAACACAGTGGCACTTGGCATTGTTTGCCCTGCCAGGTAGTCTCTTTCCTAATTTTATGTTTATAACAAACACTGCACCTTTTTTGTAGGGTGTTGCTTGGACTCAGTTGACGGAATATTCTCAGGAAAGTGTGCCCAATTTTCACCTGCAAACAAAAAGGTGTATCACTATTTGAAGGACCTCCACAACATGTATAATTTGGCAATGACACTTGCTGCAATAATTGTTCAGCAATAGCTAGACAAAAGCAAACAATGCCTGTTTTGGTGGTGCAGTTGATTTTAGAATATAAAACACGTGCATTATAAAAAGCTATGTCTATTAGATAAAAAAACATTTTCTTATATCCCTTTACACATTTTCTCATAACAGGGAAGCACGCTAGCATTTGATCCTGTTTATCAGCGCCTCCCGTACCTTTATTATACTCAAGCACACATGCTCGTTTTATATTTTCGATATCGCCACCTTGCTTTGTTCTTTTTGCCAAAGTCACTTTCATTAAAATTTTCGTTATCACTTTCATAAAATATATTCCTTATTTCTGACATTATGGGGCAGTGTATCGCAAACAAGTTTCACCGAAATACTGTTAATTGTTTCTTCTGTTGCAACTAACACAAACTACTCCAAAATGAACAAGACTGTACATGTTAAATATTGTCTTAAATTGAATAACAAGTTAGACTCGACATCCTGCACTTAGGCAAAGCAAGTGCATGACGAGTCTCAGTCGTCAAATGTATCCAAGGGGTGAAGGGTGAATGAGTCACAAGGAAAAGAAAGAAGCGCTCTTTTGCCTCGTCTTATCTTTTTAAGATAGCAGCACCCACAACCCTAAGAAAGGGCATGGAAAAAAAACTGCAGGGAGGGTGGTTGTGCTCAAATTGCAGAAGTGTCACTCTAGGAACAACTGTCTGTGACTCAGTTTGCTTCTTGTCATATATGAGGATGGGGAACACCTCCCTGGGTAGCACCTGCCTCATATATATGAAGTGTGATAAAAAAATACGGTGAATGCTGCTGCCAAGGGCCAGCCAACGGAAAGGCAGGGATCTTCACTATGGGAAGCAGCACATCAAACCTTAGTGAGTGTGTGTGACAAGTTTCAACTTGTTCGGTGCAGTCAGTCGGATGTGAGCTACGGTTGAGAGGTGTGTTTTAAAGTGTGCCTGAAACCATCCTCCATCATGACAAGGCCCCGTGTCACACATCGCTTCTGGTATACGGCAATTTCTGTCAAATCAAAATATGACAGTGTGTCCTCATCCACCTTATTCATTGGATCTGGCACCATGAGACTTCTGGCTCTTCCCTCAAGTCAAAAAGACCATGAAAGGTAAACATTTTGAATCCATTCAGAACTGATGCAGCCACGACACCACCACCGACACTCAGGAAGGAGGACTTCCAGGACTTCTTCAGAAAGTGGCAAGAATAATGGGATAAGTGTATATGAAGCAAGGAGCAGTATTTTGAGGGGGATTAAAGGCAATCTGTCTTTTACTGTAACCAATGTTTTTTAATTTAAACATCCACCATATTTTTTTTATCACGCCTCATATATAAAACAAAATCTTAATAAGCAACCCGTGCCCAATCTCCAAGACATTTAGATGTGAAGGAGCAAAAGCTGATTTTAAATGGCTGAGATGTGTCCAGGCGCTGTTGTAATACTTGATCACAAAACGGGCAGGCTGGTTTACACACCCTCTAACCCTTGATACAAAACACCAGCACTTGACCTCCGTTGCAACATCTTGGTCACACAACAATGCTGCTCCGTGGTTCAAATGTAAATCTATCTCATCACCTGCGTGGCTCAGGAGAAATCTTTCAACCGATGTGGACAAAACTACTTCAGAACCTTAAAAGCAAAGGACACGCTAACCTGTTAAGAAATTTCCTAAGTGTTCGTACTGTTTAAAAAGTTGCCAGTCTGGCCTATCTTCCACGCAGTCCAACACGACCCCACACCGAGGCCACCTAGGCTGAGACAAGTATCAACACGGCTGAGCCGAAAGGCACTAGCCAAGGACCCGGTCATACAAGTGAGGTCCGCGTCAGTCTGACCGGCGGGCAATAAGGTGGGGAGGGCGGCAGGTGTGCCGCTCCCGGGCCCACCCGGCCCCTCGGGCTCGCAGCCGCCCCGGCACCCCCGCCAACCCGCCGGCGG